GTGAAATAGTTTGAAAATTATTAAAATATTAATATAACATCAAAATCTTTCTCAATAAATTTAATTATTATTCATCATACATTGTTTATAACAATAGGCTACGTCTGTTTGAAAACTATCCATAATTCTAAATTATAGCATGATTTATTAAAATAAAACTGTAGCATCCTAAGATTACATTTTAAACATTAACTTTAAATGGTAAATATAACGAAGAAGTGTAACCGAAATTCTTTAAATCATTTTAAAATGCCACTTATATAAAAATATTATTGACTTAATACGGACCCTCAACACAACCGATTGCTATAGTTATAATACTAATCTCTTCACATGAGATTACTTAAAGTCACGAAGCTTAAACTTACGACATACGGAAGATGTAAATTCCTTGCTCTGAATATGTCTGTCGCACATTATAAAATAAAATATCGTATTACGTGTTAAGAAGATTGAAAATGGAATTAAAATTTGAGGAAAATACAGAAATATTAGAGTCAGTATCTTACCGTGACAATTAATTTGAATGCGGGCTGCATCGAACAGAATTCAGTTCAGTTAGCTTTATTCGCAGTGATTAATATTTACTTTAATATATAAAATTATTTTAAGTACAAAGTGGCTTAAAAGGCAAAAACCTAGTTGCATATACATTCTCTGATATGACTTTTGTTACGGGTGAGTTAGGTCTTTAGCAGATTTAAAAATAAATAGCTTTTTAAAAATTTTATTATAATAACGCTTATTCTAGTTGGATTTTAAACGTGTAAAACTATTAAAAACTATCACAATCTTTCAAATTACTGTATGTATTAATTTAAACTATATTTGTATAAATAGTTGTTTCAAATGATGTTCAATATATATTATTTTTCCATAACACCAAATCAATAATGAAGTCCCCAACTCCATTTTAACATATAAAATATATTATATAGAATAATCGTACATCAACATTATTGTAAACTAGCAAACTTCTGTTTACTTCACTACAATTATTTTTTAATGTATCAGGATTTGTTAATAACGTAATAAAGGCCAGTATAATCTCTTGAATAAAATATTACCTCTGTAAGTTCGAGATAAAACTTTAAATTTTAGTTTATTTCATATTAAATTATATGTTTTTTATTTCACTATTTCCATATGATAACGCCGATAGGCCATGTAATCTATGCCTAAGTTTTCCACTCTTTATAAATTTATAATCCTTGATTTCTAAATACTGACATTAATCAAAAGTTCATTCCTAACTAGCTAATCATTCCAGATATGACAACTCCGAAATCCGGTTTCAATTAAAATTGTAACCGTAATTTGTTTTTAAAAATTAAATTTTTGACGGTTATAAGGTCCCATGTGGAAAGTTATTTCTGACTGAAGTTTCTCATATCAAGATAAATCAAACAAGGACAGATAGGTTATTAATTAAATCGCATGGCCATTGAATAAAGTAGATTCTTGTTCCAATAAGGAAGATAAAATAGACAATTATCCTTTTAGTCATTCATATTTAATGGCTTAAAGATTCTTTTAATAATAGATAAGGGAATCACATTATCCCCTTAATACAATGTTGCATATTAGAATTGAAGGAACATTCTTATTTAATTCAATTCTTTTGCTCCACTACTCCTATAATTACATATATACTCACCCAAACAAAAAACATGTTTTAAGACATCTCTGCGGCTTATTATATGTGTTATATAATTATTATATGGTTTTCACACCTCCAATATTCTTTTTTATGACAAAAAAGTAAGAAGTAAAACGAAGTACTGACCATTAAGAACAATGTTATTTAAGTTAATAAAAATATTAAACAGGGATCATCTTCATATCAAAATTATTGGCGTTTAGAGAACGCATATAAATCTTCATTACATTCTAATATGCGACATAAATTTTTTTTATTCACGATGGTACTTCGGGACTGAATTTAAGAGCATGTTTGTATACTCTTTGTTATTTATCTATTGTATTCTTTGACTACGTTGTCTATATTAAATTCAAGCATAAAAAACTCTATAAAGGAGATCGTAATTCTTAATCCTTGTGGTAATTCTAGTTCAATAATTATTAATTATTTTTTGTCGATTCAAAACATAATATTGCCTCCTTTCATTTCGGCTGAAATAATGACAAAATATAATATATATGAGCTTCTACAAGAGGAAACTGAAATATGTAATCCATGCGAGAGACACATTTATTTGACGACGGTTGAGTTCTCCTGCAAAAGTTATTTTTGTGTAGGTAATTTTAGGACTTAGCATAAATTTTTATATGAATAATTTTTACATTTCATTGCAGCCTTTAGAACATGATAAATATTATTTTATCAAAATAAGGAAATAAACTATATTTGAGTTCCAATGAAATATGAGGTAATAAAATGCTAATGTCTTTTAAACAAAATATTTCTCCATAATCTTTTAGTTACCTCATGCTCTCTTTCGGATAGTAAGAGAATAACTCTAAGTCTTTCCTTGAGTGTTTTACAAGCTGAAAAGTGAAGTGGTGGCGTGTGTGCTGCAGTTTCCTAATGAAACATAACATTTAAATGTTATTAAGGATGCGAACAGGTCGATCCAAGACCGCTAGTGGAAGACTATTTCATTAACAGTAACTTCAGACAGATAAAGGTTTTTCCCAAATTTTTCCATTTAGAGAGGGTTAGGATCAGGATGGAGGCTTAGCTTAAAATTGTAATCCAAAACATTTTACAGCATATGCACTAGAATCATATTCCATACCAAAATGGAGTAGAGATGTTAGTCGATCTTGTGAATATGCTGCTTAAAATTACCTCTTGACAATTTGCTTATAGCATCTTATTAATTTTTTTGACAACGATTCCATATATATATATATATATATATATATATATATATATACTAGTAAACCCGGCGAACTCCGTTTCGCCACCAGAAGGCTTTTCTATAACACTTCGTTTGGTGATTAAAAGATGAAGAATTTTTTTTGTTTCATATTGAAAAGGAAAATTTTTATTTCATTTCACAACAGTAATGAATTCATTTTGATTACAAAAATGAAGTGTTATTTAGTTGAACTTCTCTAAGTAAATGAAAGTGAATCCAAAGTAGATACCGAATCGAAGCGTTATACGTGTCCGCAAATTATCCGTTTCATTGAAGTGCTCCTTTGTACACCACAATTTTTGTTTTTGGTCTAACTTTAACACAAATAAAGTGTATGGTTTCCAAACTTATGAACCCGCAAAATATAACTGCCCATGTGAAAAACAATGATTTTCTAAATTTATCCCGCAAATACTAAATGGTTTTAAGAGTTCAAACTACAGACACAATACCGGTTTGTCACATGAAATTAACTGAGAAGAGAACAATGAGTAGCTGTCAAACAATGTAATATATATATATATATATATATATATATATACATATATATATATATTACATTGTTTGTTGGTTAAATGAAGCCATAATATATATATATATATATATATATATATATATATTATAATATATGTGACCCAACCGTCAGCGACATATATAGTGTGTCCCGTGACTTCACACTCAACACAACTCTTATGGTTTGTTTCTACTGGAAATTGGCTGAAGTTTTCCATATAATATATACCAAATGTTTTTCTAATTTATGAACTATATTACGTTAAAATTTCATTAAAATGAATTCAGTGATTTTGGTACATAAGGTCACCACACTTTTATAGTAAGAGACAATTTAATAAATAATAATCTATGTACATCCTAATGAGACTTAAAACTTTCGCGAGTATTCATTTATATATACATGTTATCTTGAAGTCTGTTAATAATTTATTATTTTTATAACTTGATCAGAGATTAATAAAATTTGGGTATTTTCCTTTCTTATACAGGGTGACTGGTGAATTACTATCGATATTTGTGGACGTGATATTTGACGATCATATATGACAAAATAAAAATTAATATAACATAAATATTAAAAAACTTCTGAGTAAAGTTAACCAAAAGTTATGTAATTAATTATCAGCACGCCGCCGCACGCGTCCACACTTGGAACAGTTGGAACGTATCCATACTTTATTTATTTATACGGAAATTTGGTCAAAAATTAAGTACCTAGTTTTTTACATAATTCGAATGAGAATCATGTACCGAGTGTTCTCCTTAAATATTGATAGTAATTCACCAGTCACCCTGTATAATATTTTAAGTAATATCAATATATTTGACTGTTAAGTTTTGGTTTTTGATTCACAAAACTATGTTGCGGATGTCTATGGGCAACGGTACTATCTTCCATCAAGTAGACCGTCTGTTCGGTTCTTCCCTTTAGCATAAAAAAGACGAATCCTCTCATCATTCCATGTATTCACGGTGCGTGTGTCGGGTCCACCGTTGTAGTGAGAGGAGCTTCAACAGTGACTGTGACTTGTGACCCAGGTGTAGGTTTAAGGGACCCTATCTAACGCGCGATATATAGTGTTAACGCATCTTTATAGTATTAATGTAGTATTGAATGAGAAACGTGAAACGATACGTATGCAGTAACGTGTAGCTTGTGGTAAGCATAATGCTGATCTACTCTCGTTGAAGATTGAATAAGTAATTATATCTAAGATTCTTATTTTTATTAGATCTAAGATTTTCCGCCCGCAGCTTCGCCCGCGTAGGTTCGGTTACATCGTGTTTCCAAGAGGACCTTTCAAAAGTCTAGGATGAAAAATTTCTTACGTTCTTTCTCAAGGTCAACTCTATCTCTGTATCAAATTTCATTAAAATCAGTTCAGTGGTTTAGGCGTGAAAGCGTAACAGACAGACAGAGTTGCTTTTGCTTATAAAATTAGTAGGGATGATCCCGACGTTTCGGTTACTAGTCGGCAAATTAATTCATTGATTTTCAAAGAGATCGCAGTATTATAAGATTTTCATTCAATCGATCAACTGATCGACCAACTGGTCGGGCAACTGGTTGGGCAACTGATCGTCCAACTGATCGACCTACTAATCTTCCAACTGATCGACCAACTGATCGACCAACTGATCGACCAACTGATCGACCAACTGATTGACCAACTGATCGACCAACTGATCGACCAACTGATCGACCAACTGATCGACCAACTGATCGACCAACTGATCGACCAACTGATCGTCCAACTGGTCGACCAACTGATCGTCCAACTGGTCGACCAACTGATCGACCAACTGATCGTCCAACTGGTCGACCAACTGATCGACCAACTGATCGTCCAACTGGTCGACCAACTGATCGACCAACTGATTGACCAACTGATCGACCAACTGATCGACCAACTGATCGACCAACTGATCGACCAACTGATCGACCAACTGATCGACCAACTGATCGACCAACTGGTTTACCAACTGATCGACCAACTGATCGACCAACTGATCGACCAACTGATCGACCAACTGATCGTCCAACTGATCGTCCAACTGATCGTCCAACTAATCGATCAACTGGTCGACCAAATCATCGTCCAACTGATCGTCCAACTCGCTTCTATCTAAAAACAAACAGGGCCTAACCCTCGCAGCGTCTACTCAGCATTACAGTATCCAATATTTGAATCCGGTTCCGGTTATGAATCTTTAATATATGTAGGTACAAAAAAATAACACGATTCTCATATAAATTTCTTTAACACGAACGAGAAAAACTTGTACAAGAATTTACTAAGAATATAGAAACTCTGGATAATAAATGTATTTACTGGCTGACCTTTGTGGATGCAACATCTATGCGTGACATTTGATTATTAAGAAAAAATGTTGGTTAAATGAAGCCATAATATATATATACATATTACTTAATATATAAAATTAATATTTTTTATTTATTTATATGAAATTGGTCAAGAATTTTCTTTTCTACTTTAATCAAATGAACAGATGTATTCAAGGTGTAATGCTTTTGGCTTCTGTAAATTTTTGTTGTACTTACCTTTTTTGAATAAGTAGAAAAATATCATAGGCGTATATATATGGTATTTCAGAGTTTTTCATTTCAGAATCGTCTCACTAATACATGAAACGTAAGACTTAGTTATTTATGATACGAGTATTTAACTAAAATATATTTTTACTATACATATATAATTACTACATTTTAATTTATGTGTCGCTTTTCACGGGTCATACCTATATGTCGGTAATACCAAAAAATATATGCTCATATAAAGAAAAATATACATCTTTCAATCAACAATCATATTTCTATAATCTAGATTATCTTCTATATATATAAAAATGGATTGCTGTTCGCTAAAACTCGAGAACGGCTGAACGGATTTATCATATCTTACTCTTGAAATGTTCGTGGAGGTTCAGGAAAGGTATAAAAGCTGAAAAAAAAAATTAATTTCCGGGAAAACCCTAAAAACAGCGCTTTTCTATTTCCCATACAAACGGGTTTTTTGACATTAGATTTGACAACTAACTAATATGTCAATCATTCTGTCGCACTTTAGAACACGGAGATTTATGGCTTAAGCTTTAAAGGTAAACTCCAAAAATATAATTAAGAAATAATTTATTTCTTGATTGAGGCAGTACGAAGTCTGCCGGGTCAGCTAGTTATCTATAAATCCAAACAGTTTGCCTGATCAGCTATTACTACATTACTAATTTTAAAACTATAGCGGACAAAAGTTAGTATAAATTATGTAATATCCATCTGGGTACACTGTGTTCAAATGTTTAACCTGATATTTTGACATACGTGTTACAAGTGGCGCCATCTGAGCCGTTCTAATTACAATATACTTACTATAATCCTTCGAATTCTTTTTATGTTTAATTATAATTAGTAACAATGCTCTACTGATCTAATTTTGTAATGGCAACATTTAAGTATCAAATATTTTACTGTATTTGAAAACCCTTAATATTAAGAATGAAGATTGAAATTGTACCTCGAATTTAATATAAATAGAAAATATGGTTTATTTTTTTATTTTAAGATTGTTTAATATAAAATACTTATTAAACAATAAAATATTGTACATTATCCCAGACATAGTCATTAGCAGAATCAAATTTCATACAATGCAGACAAAAAAAATCATTTTACTTGATAGAAGTATATTATTTTTGATCACCAACCAAATCCTACTAATATTATAATTGCGAAAGTTTGTCAGCGTGTGTATGTTTGTTACTTCTTCACGCTCAGACGGCTGAACCGATTTTGATAAAATTTTGTATACAGGAAGCTGATGTCCAGGAATAGCACATAGGCTACTTTACATCCCGGAAATCCGCGGGTAACACCACGGGGCGCAGCTAGTAAGCAATAAAGCATCATGAATAAAGCCAAAAAATAATAAAGAGTCAATAAATAATATTTATAAACCTTAATTATTACATAAACGGATCACAATACACAGTTTTGTTGTATATGTTCGAACACATTGCACTTAGTATGCAAGATATAGAAATTATAAGAGATACACATATACACAATAGTGTAGGAAGGTGACATCAACAAAGACGCCTTGGAATTCACTTGAATAATTAAATTGGTTCTGGTTTGATATCTGCCTTTGTTAGCACAAATATACGTTCATATTTGGTTGTTTAATAAATATGTGAAATATAACGTTATTATATAAATATTATATTATTTAGGAAAAAGTTGTAAGGTTAATAAATAAAATAATATTTGTATGTCAAAAACGGCAACCCATAACCAATTCTGTTCATCTCCAATCGAGTTGAACTAACAATAACAATGAAAGTTAAACAAAGAAAAAATTCATCCGTTTTCAGTTGATTTTCTTCCTTTCATTTTATTTTCAAATATCCGATAAAAATAACAATTAGAATTTCATACACAACTCAAATACGCGTATGTTTCCAACAATTATTATACTAGGATATTTGTTAATAGAGGTTATGGATAAAAAATATACGTTTTAAGTAAAGCAAAGTATATTTATATGAAATAAAAATAATTAATGTCCTTACTATTATCTTAGGGTTAAAATAATCTTGATCAATTAATAAAGCAATATCTCAGTCATTCAACCATTTTTATGTCTATAAAGGCTAACTTCCATTCTATCGATGACATAAAATAAATAATTAAGGAGAAAAATTTTATGAAGTTTCCTGAGGTCACTTTAGTCTTTTGGAAGCTGTTAATTTTCATTCAAATAATAATAACTTGTTATAAACTATGTGTTCTGCTGTTATAAACTTGTTATAAACTATCTGTTCGGCTCTTTACATAATCTTAAAATAGCTCTTGTTACGTTAAATTGGTCGTTTACTTACTTTTTGAGTTAAATCAAGACAAACTAAAATTTCTTCATCGCCTTCGTTAAACATATTTTAAGTCTAAATGAAGAAATATTGTATTTTTATGTTAATAATAATAGTTTTAATATTTATATTTCGTTAAAGATAATATAATTTAGATGGATTTATAGGAATATCATAAATTCATTGTTTAAAAAATTATGTTTGATCACATAAAAATAAAATAAAATGTTTTTGTAAAATTTTTTCTTTTATTAAATTAAAATTTTGCCATCGATTTAAAGTAACTAAAAATATTTTATATCGTTTCATTGCCAAGATGTTTCCATATTACACGTATCCTTTTGTAACTAAAACCATCTTCTTATAAAAAAGTTGGAAATATAAGTTTAAAACATTTCGAGTATTTTTTAGTAAGTCTTTCCATCGTGCTATTTGAATTTTTAGCTTCTGTAACGAATTAATTTAATTTCTCTTAAAAATTTAAAACTTTTACACTTTCTGGTTACATAACCTTTCAGAACGTTCCAAACTGTTTTTGTCTATGAAAAAATTATTCGTTCCTAAGAATCTCAAAACATTTATGAAAAAGTCTGTTACAATAAATTATATTACTATTATATCATAATATTTCTCAATCTGTAAGGTTAATAACATTAATCAGCTATTTCCAAATATGTGTTAGAAAATAAAATGTTCTTACATGGAGTAAATGTTAAATCAATGATTAATATTTAATATCAGTTACAAAGATGACATTCAGTGAACTGTGAATAAAAATCTACACAGTTTAAAGTTGAAACTTAAAGACGTAGATTTAAAAAGACTGCAATTTATTGCACTTCTCTCGTTTTTTACAGAACCATATAAAAATATTAAGCAGGTACACAACAAATGAAAATATTATTTTAGACTTACATTAATATTACTTATATTTAAAAAAATATATATTTTTACGCTAGTTTTACTTAGGGAGTTATAATATAGTCAGATATTGGATTTATTACTTTACATGAACAAACCCAAGTATTACATAATTAATGGCATCTGAGGCTACTGCTAGTATACATTTAATAAAAGTATGTTTATATTGTATCTTTTACTCGACGTCAAATAATAAACAATATACACTCATTGATTTAACGAAGGATATATTTAATTTTAATAAATCCGTTTTCACTTAAAACGACCTGTAAATTGGGAAATTGAATGTAATGGTTTGGTTTGTCTTGTAATTAAAGCCCTCGGGATGGGATATATGGCTCTGAAACATTTAAAAAAATTATTGCTTCACCTTTAAAATAATATCTATTACGCAATCACTCGCAAATATCACAATCTAAGAAAAATGATATTCTCTTACCAGCAGATTTATCATCTGATCCATTATTCCTAAGGATTATAAAATTATAGTCCAGGTTGGAAAAACAGATCTTGGAATTTTATTTAAATGTTAAGAAGCAATATTTAATTCAAAAGATTGTACGAGCCTATGTTACGTTGTAAACAAGATCTGGATTTTTTTAAAGATATACAGTAAAGTAGAAAGCTGATTGTTCCATTTTCGAGATTGTTATTTTATAATTATAAATTGCCAAGTTTTAGCTCCTGTCTGGTTTCATAATTCAAGTATGGTATATTATGGTTTATTTTCTTCACTTTTAATGGTTTTCGTAATTGTTCTTAAAAGTTGTGTTTATTTAACACAAACACTGATGGTATTTGCGTGACATTTAAGCGAGCAACATCTTATGAACAGCGCAGTAAGCCAGCAATAAAATACGAAACTCAGAGTATTTCAAAACCCATTTTTCGCATTCTTTATTTCGTTTATTTTTACTTTAGTATTTTGCCGTCTTATTGCTCGGTGTAGTGAATAAATAAGAATAACCCTATTATAAACTGAAATATCAGCAGCGCTTAGAGGTATTTGGTCAAAAAGCAACCGTTGTAAAAAATGAATTTTCTAATACTGTTAAATTGAATTTATGAGTTTCTCGGAGCAAAAATTTCGTTGTCTGAGCAATATTGCTGTAGAAGGAACCATAACACTTCCTTTCGCCCTCCATAAAGTAAGTATATGTTCTTAACATCAGTCAGGCGCCTTTACCCATTTCCATATTGTTATTCGTTTACTACATAAAGATGAGATGTCATTTATGTAACTGTTTTGTAACAACTCCTAA